TCTCCAGTGGGGCGGCCAGTTTACGCCTACAGTTCATTTATTCGTTTCGATGGTCAGTTGGTACTGACATATGCCAAATAGTCAAACTCGTCATCATCTTGCTTATAAGCTTGAAAGAGGGAACCATCAACAGCCTTGCCAACGGGTAATTACTGTTGGCATCTGTGGCCGCACGGGCTACTTTATGAGGGTCTACGCTTCTCACAAAGAGTGATACGGAGTGGATGTGGTTTAACTCTTGATTTTTGCTAAAATTTTATTCGAAATGGTCATCTGCTAATATGGATTTGAAGTTTTCGAGGATGTTTATCTTATAGTACCACGATTTTTTGTCGGTCATTTGGCCTTGAGGGCGCCACGTTCGAATTCCACCGCACTTTACAGAAATAGCAGAAGCAGTCTTCGCAGAAATTTATTCTACTTTAAAAAAAGTTGCCAGTTACATTTTGAAAATTACTGGCGAGTTAGTGAAACATTTTAATAATTTCAGGGAAGCATTATGAGGGGAAGTAGTAGCCTAGCCCCGCAGAAAAATTCCGATGCAACGGCATCTTCGTTGACAGTGAAGGAGGAAATACTGTGCGCATTGGCAGCAGCAGCAGCAACACTGCAGGTAGTATTTTGCACTAGAGCTCAATAGACCTCGATGAGTACCAGCAACAAATGATCTGATGAAAAGATGACGGAATATTTGAATTATGAGTGTCAGGAATTTCAGGATAACCTGAAGATTGATTCGGCCGAGGAGACTGACGAGGCGGAGCGTACAGGGATCAAGAATGTGGCCGGGACACTGTACGTAACTTTGGAACTCATTTTTCAAAAGAATATCCGATTTCTGACCTGGCCGAAGACAAGTTTATCCCCTATGCTGGGAATTGATTTTCGCGGTCCCTTCAAAATTACTTACATTTTACTCCTACCGAAATACAGTGAATACTGCGAGCCAGCACTCTTTGTCCGCCGACGTTCCGCGCGCACGCACGCATCCGCCGCCGCATCTGCTGCGTTATTGATTTTCCTCGGAACCACGCTGTTCATTCACGTATGACAGATGTGCTTTGAGCGGCAGACTAGATGTGTGCGTGCTCGTCACCCGTTTCACCAGAAATACCGATACTGTTCCACTACACTGATTTCTTTGAGAAGGTGGAGGGCGGAGAGGAGGCGGAGGGGAGCGTAACACTACGGGACAGCCTGAGGCGCTGGTACTCGTTTGGGCAAGCTGCTGTTTTGTCCGTTCCTGAAATGCATTTGCGCACAACGATCTCGGCAAGCCGTGCAATTCTCGTGCACTTGCATCACCCTTCTCATAGCTGGGGTGCTGGGTTGCAGGATATAGCAGAGAGCGGAGGGAGTAAGCTGTGTTGGTTTCTGCCTCGGGATCTTCCAGTTTTGTTGTTGCCTGGAGCTCCTTGTTGGCCCCCAGTCCGAGGCGAACCGCGGTTCTTGCAAAACTTTCTGAGTTAGTCGCACGCCATCCTGAAATAAATCGAGCGGCAAAAACTTCCCGATCAGTGTTATTCTTGGATAGGCTGTGGTCAATAAGGATTATGCGCCAGACGGTCCAATAGTTTACTGTCGATAGCGGGCTCAGTGGCCAGTACAACAGAATTGGATTCTGAGAAATTCTGTGCTTGAAAACTGTATGGTACAGGCAGATGTCTTATTTATCATGTAAGCGAAAAGGGGAATGGTTTTTTGGAAGCCTGGTGGACTGATGATCGTAATTCTGCCCAGGTTACTAGACCTGCATTTTTTTGCGCCTTGGGCGCATCGCAATCAATGGGCTTGTCGGCGCTGGTAGGGATGTGTGAGGGGGCTTTACTTATAAACGAACCGAGAATTCTAGCCCGATTTTTCCTAGGAATCTTGTATTCTGTAGCTG